TAATGCAAATCAGTGTTTGATTCGAGACATTACTTCTTTGCACACACAGTATATAGCCGTTTGAGATGCAACCTCTGTCTTAATGGATGCTTGTGAACTTGTTTATTTTCTCTCCTTTGAGTCTCGACTCCTTCTCTCTACTCATTAGGGAAGAAGTGAACCTAAGCGAGATGCAATGTCTAACCACAGTTTAGGGATATTTATGAGGACTTTCAGTGCGTGTCCATGGTGTGTAGCGGTGCAGTGTGTTCTTAAGGGATCAAGGAAAGACACACATCACAGACAGAGAGCGAACAAACGAGCGAGCGAGCGAGCGAGAGAAAGAGAGAGAGAGAGAGAGAGAGAGAGGTGAAATGTCCAGAGATTTACTCCTCTTAGACCTTGTATTTAATAATGCACTGTCTCTTCCTTGACCTTCACTGAAAAAAAAGCGTTGCATTTCTGTTTTTAATATTTTATGGATGTACACACTGACTGCAGGTTCACTGGAGCCGACCTGGACGTTTGTACTGATCTGGTTATCTCTTGTACAAGGATTGTGGATAAGAAAAGGTGCTGGCCATTAGCCAAAGATGTTAAAACATTATGGCAAGAAGGATTGTGGGTAAAGAGCCTTGTACACCACAGCCAGTGAATGCAGCAGCAACTGGCCATGAGCCAAAGACAGTAAAGTATCTCAACATTGACTCACATATGGCAATCATCCTGATCTTCAACTTTGTCCTTCTCTTCCATCACTCCATCATCCTCATTTCATAATCCTCAGTTACATAATTCACGTTCCCTCTCCTCATTCTCATCCTCCTCCTCAGCATTAGCATTATTATCCTCTTCAACCTCCTCATCCTTATCCTCCTCATATTCATCCTCATTATCCTCATCAACCTCATCACCTTATCCTCCTCATCATCTTTATCCTCAGCCTCATTATCCTCTGCAACCTCCTCATCATTATCCTCCTCATCATCATCCTCAGCATCATTACCCTCTTCATCATCTTCATCCTCATCATTCTGATCAACCTCATCATCTTCATCCACAGCCTCATGATCCTCCTCATCCTCAGCATCAACATCCTCCTCATCATCCTCATCCTAAGCCTCATGATCCTCATCAACCTCATCATCCTTATCCTACTCCTCATCCTCGACGTCATTATAATGATCCTCCTCATCATCCTAAGCCTCATTATCCTCCTCATCCTCCTTATCATCCTCATCCTAAGCCTCGTTATCCTCATTATCCTCATTATCCTCATCAACCTCATCACCCTTATCCTTCTCATCATCATCATTATCCTTATCATCCTTTACCTTAACCTTACCATACTCGTCATCAACCTCCTCATTCCTATCATTGTCTTCTTCAGCCTCATAAACTTCATATTCCTTATCCTCCTCATCCTCAGCATCCTCCTCATTCTCAATGTTGTCCTCATCAGCCTCATCCTTATCCTCATCATTCCCCATAATCATACCATGCATCTTATTTGCATCATCATCTTCAAACCCATTATTCATATCATCCTCATTCTCAAGTTCTTCATCCTCAACCACTTGAGGATTATCCTCATCATCCTCCTCAATCTCAATGTCTATTATCATGTTAATCATTCTCATCCTCAGCCTCCTCATCACTGTCCTCATTCTCATAAGCCTCATCATCTTCGTCATTGTCCTTATCCTCATCAGCCTCATAAACCATCATTTTCAGCCTCATCATCCATATCTTCCTAATCATCCTCATAAACCACATTGTCTCTACCTTTCTCAACCTCAGCTTCATCATCCTTATCCTTAAATTAACCATGCTCATCATCCTTCTCATTCTCATCATCAGCCTCATAAACCACATCATACTTATCTTCCTCAACCTCAACCTCCTCATTCTCCTCATCGTCCTAATCCTGTTCTTCCTCATCCTCATCATTCCTATCCTCCTCACTCCTTTATCATCCATATTATCTTCCTCACACTTATGAATTAAGCGAATATCTTTTGAAAGCATAGTGTTCCTGCCTCCAGTACAGTTCCAGAGACTTGTAGAAGCTACACCAACATGCATTAAAGCTGCTGGTGGCCCAACATCTTTCCCTGACACTTTATGTTGGATTTGTTGGAAATGCCAGAAGCATTTAGGGCAGAGATTAGCAGATGACAGAGATGAGATTAGTGAGGTTCTGGCTGAGAGACGGAAACAAGGACTACATCAAACGGACGAATCCACCAAAGCTCTTCTGGCCGTGAGCTGAATTCAGAGCAGCTGCTACATTAAGCTATTCACAGAAATATCAAAAAACACAAGCTGGCTAGCCTAGCTGTATAGAGGCCAGAAGCTCGTATATCAAAGATACCAATTTTAGGGATTCACTGTGGGATTTCAGAGCAATAAAGCAGAAGCTCCAGTGCTTCTCTAACACACAGAAGTGACTGCAGATATTATTGGCCCAGAGCTTTGAATATGAAAAGTTAATGACTGCTTCCCGTGTAGGCGATATTGTAACAAATAACTTGTATCAGACAAAGTATTATCAGAGATATTTATACACATACGTGAAGACATTTAAAACCCAGCACACGTTAAACAGCCTACCATTTGACAGCTCTCTTTGGCAAAAGCAGCCTAAAGATTAGATTTAGAAAACATTATCGTGTCAAATTGTTTTATTGCCTGTGCCCTGAGTATTCAGTGTGCAATATACAATGGACAAAAAATTTTCAAACTTCAGTTGGAGTGAATTTCACACAGTTGCCAGAGTCTTCACTGAATGCTCACATTCTCTCAGCCTCCTATTTGCACTCTTACATGAGGATCCATGTCTCCTCCATACAAACTCTTTCCAGTTGTCCCTCAGGATTCAGTGCTTGGACCCCTTTTCTTTTCCCTCTGCACCAGTTCTCAGTTCAGTGATGTAATGTCTCCAACATGCTTTATTTGTTTTGCCGAGGACATCAAACTGACCTTTCACACCATCAGATAGCCAAGATTATTTATATCCTAGCTTGTTTGGCAAGTATCTTAACATGGGGCGTAGATGATCATTGAAAGCTGGATCTTGGCAAGACTGAGTTTGAGTGTATTCCTGGAAAGTCCCACGCCTTTATCCTCTCGTCTACTTTCAGAATTTCTTAATCACTATGTGCAAACCTTTGGGTGGTATCGGATGATTATTTTCTGTTCTTGGCAGGAGTCGAAAATACAATATGTACAGTGTCGGGAGGACCGCATTTCTTGATGCTTGTGTTATATTGTGTTATGATTGTATTGTCTTTCTTTTTTTCTGCATGTTTGTCATAATTTTCTCCCAATTTGGTCATTTGCCAATTCCCACCCACTAGCTAGCGCTCCCAAATCATATGACAGCAACGAAATGGCAACGGTCAAGGCTAACACATGCTTCCTCCAAGACACAATCCAGACACTTTGAGGAATGTGCTATCTACCTTCTTCCACATACATGAGCTCATAGATGCCCTGATTGGCTAGAGAGAGTATTCCATCCCTCCGACCCAGTGAGCATCAAAGTTAGACCAAAGATAGAGTGACCGCTTTTATGTTGCGCCATTTTAAACCCTGTTCTGGCCTAAGAAGTTCAGTTCCCTACTTGATGCCAATGGTCTAGTCCTGCCCCGTAGCTTGAAACGTTTTTAGGCTCAGCTCGAACTGTGACTCTTCAGGATAGAAGAAAGACCAGGTGGTGAAATGATCCTTTCTTTGTTGTATCCTGAAGAGCCACAGGTCAAGCTGAGCCTAAAAAAGTAGGCTAAGTGTCTTCAAGATGCACTTGGTTTATATTACATATTTACTTATGTATATTAATACTGACTCCTGTTGATAGCAGTGCTTTGGCTTGTTCATATCCTTAAGCACATTCTTCTTCAAATAGACAGCAAAGCACATCTGTCAGCCATCAGGGAGAAAAAAAAACTCCTGCCAGATGCTGTGTATATAAATCTAGTAAATTAGTATCTACTTTCATGAATATTGTTTATATTGAAATGTAAATGAGATACAAAATACATTTTTCAATTACGCTACTAAAATATCAAAACATAATGGGACAAAGGTGAGTGCAAAGTGTGCAACTGTATTGCAAAGTAGTGAGTAGATCTTTATGAAAATTTCTTTTTAGCAGTGGGAGCTTGTAACGTTCTTAAGCTGGCCAATATATATATATATATTTTTCAGGACAGCTCAGCTGTAAAAACTGCTTTATAAGACTAGAGAGAACAGACATCATCAGTCACGAACAGAGCGCATCAGTGTTGTGTTGCAGCTGTCTGAGGACAGGTTAAATGCTCAGAAGTCCATCATAACTTTATTATAACGTCTCTAAAAATTATATTATAGCTTTATAATATAAGAGCTATTAGAGCTTACAGACAAATATTGTGTACTGTGCAGCCAAGCGATGCTGCTTAATTAAGAAATAAAGCCCTCCGTGTTATGCCGTTATAGGAAAAGTTGATTATATTCCATTAACAGCGAGTGTTTTATTCCTCTTATACTACAGCAATACACCCATTTTTGATTTATTAAAGAACATCACAATTTTTTTCCATTTAGAGTTATACGTAATGTTCTTCTGTGAAACAAGTTAATTCCCGTTAGTTCCTCACTTACGTTATAGAAGCTATAAACAGTCGTTCCCTCACTGAAATCACTGAAACCGGAGACTCCATAAACGTTAGTCAACACCTTCTGACCAATCAGTATCGGGAATTCAGCAGCTGTGGTATACGGCAAATTAAAAAAAAAAAAAACACTTTACATGATGCTAATTTTTAACTCAGATCATCATCATCTTCTTTTGGCTGCTCCACTTAGGGGTCGCCACAGCAGATCACCCGTCTCCAGCCGGAGAAGTCCGGCTTGAGATCTGCATATTGATTTAGCACAGGGTTGTTTTTTTAAATGCCAGATGCCCTTTCTGAAGCAGCCCTCCCATGGGACCACACTGAGAGTGCACTAGCTTATGCCACCCCAGTGCCTGGGTTTGGTGCCCAGCGTGGGGCTCAAACCCACGACCCTGTGATTAAGAGTCTCATGCGCTACCGGCTGAGATAATTAATTAATTAATTAATAATTCTTAACCCAGATCACTACTTTTAATTCGACTCATTAACTATTTATCAAACCTTCAGGCTTGTGGCCTGTGTACATCTCAGTCTTTAAGCAGATGATCTGAAAAGGAGAACAATGAGCTTAATGTTCCTTTAAGGATCCGATAACAGGGACTTGACTAGCTGTAGGAGTTAAGTGCACTGAGTAAGCAGTATCAGGTATTGAGATGCGCACGCACACACACACACACACACACACACACACACAAAAACAGCTGGCAAGAGATACCGAGCCTTATCACAGCAGTGTAAAGATTTCAAACTTCCTCCTAAACTCACACGGTGATATGTTTCAGTGCTTTATTAATGAGTGTGTTATCATTACAGCAGAACCTCTATCGCTCTCTCCCGTCCTGTTTATTAACCTTCATGATAAACGACTGCACCCTGCCATTATTCAAACCCCGTCGAGGCGATGACAGACGCAGGACCGAATTACGCCAAGGAGGAAGTGATGAGTGGACGAGCGAAGGTTAACAGGCCAAACTCAGCATCATCCAGATGTTTATGAGCCGTGACGTGACGGCTGTGCTGCTCTCGGCCCAAGAACAACTGACTGCAGCAGGTTTCACCGGCGTGAGCATTCTGTAACTCTACACAGCGATGGAGTTTGAGTTGTGGAGAGGTGGAGAGGAGCGCCCTCTGCTGTCCAAATCATCATCGTCACCTTACAAGCCAAATAGTCTACTGTATTAAATAATAAACATTTTACACTGTTGGGTGTCAAAGACCAGAGCAAAAAAGATATAAGTTATAAATTTTGTTTGTCTGTTAAACAAAATCATCTAGATATGAATTCTAGAGTTCACGTACAATTTTATGTCTCTCTATTTTATGTGTTTTGTTTTGTGAGTTTTGTTTTATGGCATGTCACGTCATACTGTTTTGTGTTTGGTAACGCCAGGTTTTTTTTTTCTGACACATTTTGCTCATTTTGTTGTTTGAAGTTTTGCTGTTTTATATATTTTGTTTTATAATGTCATGTTTTTAAAAAAAAAAAATTTTATATGCTTTGTTTCATTTTTCGTTTTATTTGTTCTAATGTTGTAATGCCAAGTTTTTGTTGTTATTCTCCATGTTTTGTTCATGTTCTTGCCATTTTGTCTGTTTTGTTTTGCTTGTATTAACGCTGTGCTGCGTGTATTCTTTATATTCTGTTTTGTTTTGCAATGCCATGATTTCTTTTGTCGCTATGCTTTTGTTGTGTGCTGTTATTTGTTTTACTGCCTTGATTATTTGTAGAAAATGAAACAATATAATGACAAAGTAATAAACAAATATAAGATTTTATTCTACAGACATTACTATATTTAACATGATTGTTTTGTCCACTAGAAAAAAATGTGGAATGTATCTCATATCTCTATGAAGAATGGTTCTCAATTTATCTAACATATTTCTAGACATTTCTGTTCATTTTAAATAAACAAGTTCTCTACTACTTTATTTTACCTTCTTTAACAACGCACAAACATTTCTGTTTATTTCTCTTTTTTTGGAAAAGTTATGCTTCAGTATGATGCAGTACAATATTCGACAATAATCTCTTAAGAATGATAGATTTTCCCATATCCAAGATATTTTCACTTTATTTTTTTCATCGTTTTCATATTATCTTTTTCAGTATGTGAACAAATTTGGTAAATTACAGGAGAATTACATTAAATATTAAAGATTCACAAGATGATCAGGTGTCCGTGTCCGTTTGTCTGTAGAAATGCTTTGGATCATTTGCGCCACTATCCACACACTGACTTTCCCTTTTTTTTAATTTTTTTTTTATGATGTTCAGGACATATTCAGTTTCTCCATCAATCCCTCAAATGCTGAACATCACACACGGACAGATTTATGCTAATTCTATACTGACTGCACTTACACACACCGCTCGTCCACTCAGCAGTTTATTATTACAGAGTGTTTATATAAGCACATCACCACAAAAAGTGACATCGCCAGTCGATCAGCATAATTAAAGCCGTAAAGCTGTTTTAGTGCGCATCACTGCGCTGTAGATCATCTCACCGCCACCGGAGACGGCACATTACTGAGTTATCAGCGGGGGAGAAAACCTCAGGCTTCCACATGACATGATAAGATTTCCCTTTGATATTTGATCCTACTCCTGACAGACTGGAATATACTAACCGAGTTTGAGTCATGAATGACGACGACGTAGAGAAGGACTTCAGTTTTTGACTGTTCCTCTTCAATAATGCTCAAATCATAATCTATTATAATCGCCAATAACTAATTTATGATCGTTGCCTTTTTTAAATCAACGCATGTGTCTAAATGGTCTGATCATTACACCTGTAGTGATCAGTAAGCATTCCTCCATAAGCAGGTTACTTTATAGATGCAGTAGCCATGCAGGGAAGGATATTTAAAAGTATCCATCATCTTTCCTCTAAAAATTTAAGGTATAATTAAGTGTCGTTCAGAATAAAGGTACTGCATCATTAAAGATGTAGCTCTTTTTTTTTTCTTCCGAAAATGGATTTAACCCCATTATGTCCCAAATAATGGATTCTCCCCAAATTTCTCCTTATTTGTGTTAGCCCTCTTCCAGTTTATCTAGATCACGTGACAGCGACCAACTAGGAAAGGTGAAGGCTGGCATGTGCTTCCTCCGATATCATATCTTTACATCAGCAGCATAACACGCTCATGGAAAAGCGCTATCTGCCCTCTTCCTCATACACGTACTCACGTACACCCATGATTGCCTAACCCTGATTGACAGGAAAGAGCAAAAATAGGCCCCTCCCACCTACAGAGTCTTGACTCCTCGCCACGGACGGCTGTGGCGGCGTCTGGATTCGAGCTCATCTCCTGACGATAGAGCCGAAGCTTTTCTGTTCAATATAAAGTTTACATGTGTTTCTAATCCATCTAAACCTGTGCTTAACGAGAATTGCCTGTATTCTTTATTCCAGGTTTAGTTTTACATGCATTTTTCTGGAAACAGAAATAAGCTCCGCCCCCAGGTGAAGCACAGGTTGGTTATGGAGGACATTTTTTTCATAAATATTATTTCATTAGTCTGTAAAATTACAGATTAGAATTACAAAATTTCTTTAAACCTTCTGCTTACACTTTTCCGGCCCAGAAATTGGCTCCGCCCCTGCTGGACGAGTGCCCCTTTTCCTTAAAAACCACTGACCACTAATCCTGCATCTCAGTCTAAACTTAAAGATGCAGTTTGCAAAATGTTTGTAGGTGTTTTTAACTCTGTAATAATTAGGATTTTCAGAGGCACCCCAGGAAACCATAAATTTCCAAATTGCCATGCAACAGATTTGACTAATTTAATTAATGTCAAGGATTTATATATTTTTCTGGCCTGGAAATGTAGCCCCACCCCTTGCTGAAGCACAGCTGCTTAGTGGGTTGGTCTGAAAGCTTGTTTTTATTATTATGATTGCAAATGACCTCAGAGGCAGCAGAGCCCTTTAAATATTGCAAACAATACATTTAAAGCTTTGGATTGCATTTTTATGGCCCAGAAATGACGACCTCTTATCAGTTCGAACAGAGTTGCTCATTTTCTTAAAACTCAACTCACGAGGCTTGTAGGTTTAACTGGCACGGAGTGTCTGTTGATATTCCTCTCACAGGGAGCAGACGGCTCTACACGTTACATACTGCCGCTTTAAAATGTATAATTGGATTTGAGGAAAACTGATGTAGCTTTAAGCGTTTGTTTGTAAGGAAACAAGGAAGCTATACGCATGTTAAGATCAAATACATAGCGTTAGACTCCTAGCGTTAGCGTTTGAGAGCACTAAGTGACTACAGGATGTGGCTGCGGCTCATTCGGCGCTCTAATTTCTGTACTAGACTTCTCTAATCGAGATTTAAGCCTCTTAATTAAACAGGATGGGAGTTAAGCGGAATGTCGACAGCTGTGTCACTGACAGCGCTTCGTCCTCAAAACTCATTCACAAAAGCATTGAAAAAGTAGCTCAGATCCGAAACTTCCTCTCGCTCCAGTTTGGCTCGTTCAGTTGATCTCCATGGCAACAGGGCATCTCAGGTTCAGAGTACATCCAGCTGAAAATAATGACTTGGCTCACAGCTGAGGAAGCACACGTGTGTGGAATGGAAAAGCAGGCGAATCGAAGGTGTGGCGTGATGCGAAAGCTAACTGGTTAAACTTCTACGGACGGGGGGTAATTTATCACTGACCGAGAGCTTGTTGATCTATTTACATATATTAGCATAAATCAATAATCATTATCTTTTGATTTCTTTTTAGTACTTGCACTAAGTGTTTAATGTCCCCATCGCAAAGTACTCCATGTTCACTCAAAAGATGCAGTCAAGCTTTTGAAGAAGTGGACCTGAACTTTATATAATTATGACTTATACCCCAGGTTATAAGATTAAACTGTCCGATTGTCCTGAAGTGCACCTGGAATTATGACTCTATTAGCACCATGCGGTGACCTCATATCCTGTCCATGACTGAGGCTGATGTTTTCACCCTCTACATCCAGCTGTCTTCCCTTTTTCACTTCTCGTAAAGTGAAGCAAGAAATGCCACCCTTGCTACAATCCATCACACACTCACCATAAAAGAAATTGTTTGGCTCAGTAATATAACCTCAGTCGTACACGAGCAAAACAAACGGTAGAGCAAGTCAGAATTTGAAATTAAAGGTGCTATTTGCAATTTTCAGAAGTCTTCCCAGAAACATCATAAATAATACTATTTCAAAGATACTTTGGAAAACCTATAATGTGCAATATTTCTACCCAATAAAACTTGCTAGTTTCCTTAATTTAGCCTTCTGTTTGATTTTTCTGGCCCAGAAATAAGCTCCATCCCTATTTATAACAGGGTTTTATTAAACACCAGAACAAATCTGTATTAACAAGAAATATGTTGGAGTTTGCCATTGTAAAAATAGTTTCCTAGAACTGTAGTAAAGACTATCAATGTGC